TGGTGGTGATGATGACGATGATGGTGATGCTGATGATGCTGCTGCTGCTGATGATGATGACGCTGATGATAATGGGGAGAATGGTGATGATCTGGGTGTCGTTGTTGGTGGTGACGACGCTGATGACGATGATGGCGACGATGTCGGTGATGATGAGGATGATGATGATGTTGTTGATGACGATGATGATGATGATGATGATGATGATGATGATGATGATGATGAAGGTGGTGGTGGTAATGATGCTGACGCGGGTGCTGCTGCTGATGCTGGTGTTTTTGACGCTGATGCTGTTGCTGCTGCTGGCGACGTCGATGGCGATTCTGACTATGATGACGGTGACGATGATGATGATGACGATGATGCTGGTGATGACGATGATGATTTTGATGATGATGATGATGATGATGATGATGATGATGATGATGGTCATGGTGATGATGATGATGACGCTGATGCGGATGTTGATGACGATGATGGTGATGCTGATGATGAAAATGCTGATGAGGATGTTGATGATCATGAACCTGGTGCTGATGATGATAATACTGCTGCTGATAATAATTATCCTGCTGATTATGTCGTTGCTGTTGTGGTTGTTGTTGATGATGTTGTTGTTGCTTCTGTCGAGTTTGTCGTTGATGATGATGGTGATGATGGTTATGATGATGATGATGATGATGATGATGATGATGATGATGCTGGTGATGGTGGTGGTGATGACGATGATCATCATCATCATGATGCTGATGGCGATGTTGTTGTTATTGTTGTTGTTGATGGTGATGGTGATGATGACGCTGATGATGCTGATGATGCTGATGATGGTCCTTATGTTGTTGTTTTTGTTTTTGTTGTTGTTGTTGTTGTCGTCGTCGTCGTCGTCGTCGTCGTCGTCGTCGTGGTGGTGGTTGTTGTTGTTGTGGTGTGTGCGTTGAACTCTCATTACTGAAGAATAATTATTGTTGATCCCTCCCCCTCCGGTGCACATTGTATTTTTCAATTGAAATGCCCCTCCTGGCGCTCGCACCCGGTTTTTTATAAGGGAATATCCTCCTCAAATTGTGTTGGGCCCTCGGTTTGCAACAACAGCGGCTCCCGCTGGATATTTCCTCGAAATTTACTCGGGTCCCCCGCTCCCGCTTGAGACTTCCTCGCAATTTACCCAAGAATCGCGCTCCCGCCTGAGACGTCCTCGCAATTTACTCAGGCGCCGCGCTCTTGCCATTCAGGAATCGCGCGTTCGCTGGGGATTTTTTCCAATTTACTTAGGGATCGCTCTCTCGCTGGAAACTTCTGGCTAATCACGCAGAGCTCACGATCGATCCGCCCGCTCGGCCCGCCCGTCAGGGAGGGTCATGCCCTCCGTGCCCCATGCTCGCTCTCGCCCTTTGTGCCTCATTGTTGCCCTTCGTGGCCCTTCCCCGTGTGGCCCAGTCGCTGCCCTTCGTGGCCCCGATGCTGCCCTCAGTGGCCTCTCGCTGCCCTTTGTGGCTCATATATACGCCCTTCGCGGCCTCCAGTCGATCGTGCCCTCAGTGGCTTCATTGCTGCTCTTCGTGGCCCCGCTGCTGCCCTCAGTGGCCCCCTCGCTGCCCTTTCTGGCCCATATATGTACGCCCTTCGTGGCCCCCAGTCGCTCGTGCCCTCAGTGGCCCCATTGCTGCCCTTCGTGGCCCCAGTGTAGCCCCGTGTGCCACCCCCCCGCTGCCCTCAGTGGCCCCCTCGCTGCCCTTTGTGGCCCATACATTCGCCCTTCGTGGCCCCCAGTCTCTCGTGCCCTCAGTTGCCCCATTGCTGACCTTCGTAGCCCCGGCGTAGGCCCCTGTGTGGTTCGGCCACATGTTTTTGGCTCTTAGACCCCCTCCTGCTACTCTCTCTCTCTCTCGTGCTCCATCCTCCTCTCTCCCCTTGTCCCTTCCTTCCATCCGTCCTCTCTTCCCCTGCCTTAGGTACTGCACGACATACACGTTGCAGGTAAGAAAGATATATCCCCGAGGGGATACGGTCGAAGGCGAAGAGGGTGGGTATCGAGGGTTTGGGATAAACGTGTTGGATGGCACGCGAGCAGATTACAGCGAACAGTCTTAAACTGAATGATGATGATGCTTACACTGTTGCTGCTGATGTTTCGATCATTATGGAACTGTTGTTGCTGTTGTTGTGGTTGTTGTTGTCGTTGTTGTCGTTGTTGTTGTTGTTGTTGTTGTTGTTGTTGTTGTTGTTGTTGTTGTTGCTGTTATTGCTGTTGTTGTTGATGATGCTGATGCTCATGCTCCTGATGATGATGACGATGATGATGACGATGATGATGACGATGATGATGACGCTGATGATGCTGATGATGATGATGATGATGATGATGATGATGATGATGATGATGATGAGGAGGAGGAGGAGGAGGAGGAGGAGGAGGAGGAGGAGGAGGAGGATGACGAGAAGGGGAGGAGGATGAGTATGAGGATGAGGATGATGACGAGGAGGATGACGACGAGGAGGAGGAGGAGGGGGAGGAGGAGGAGGATTATGACGACGGTGCTGAGCCTGCCCGTCCGTCGCGCCTCCCGGCCGCGCCGAGGACCCGCGAGCCCGCCGGGCCTCGCCGCCCGCGCCGCCCGCGCACCCCGCCCGGCTGCCCAGCCCGGGACGCCGGCGCCGCCCGCGGCGCGCCTCTCGCCGTCGGGCGGGCCCGCGGGGGCCCAGCTCGGCTGCGCTCGCGGGTCACGGTCCGACGAGCTTTCGAGCCACCAGGTGCCAGGAGGAGGGAGGGGGAGGAGGAGGAGGAGGAGGAGGAGGAGGAGGAGGAGGAGGAGGAGGAGGAGGAGGAGGAGGAGGACGTGGCATGTTGGCGTATGGTGGTGCCTCTTGGGGGCCTCTTGGGTGGTCCAGCTCGGCTGCGCTCACGGTCAGAAATTTAGCTTTGCTGTCGGAGGGCGCTCTTGGCCCGCCCGCCTGACGCCTTGGGAGGCTGTCTGGGGGGTCTCCCCGGGCCGTCTTGGGGCGCTGCGGGGCCGTCCTGGGGCCTCTTTGGCCGTTTTGGGGCCCTCTTGGGGCCGTCTTGGCGGACTGTTTGGTGGCCGCAGGCCTCCCACTGGTGCGGGCCCCCACCAGTTGGGGGGGTCTCCACCTTCTGGAAATTGAGGGTCGAGGAGGCGGGAGACTAGAAGACCGAGAATGTTTTGCACGTTTTTGGGCGTCTGCGCAAGCCCAGGGGGACTCTGGGAGGCACAGGGGGTCCGCTTTTTGGCCCCTCAAGCTGTGGTGCTCAGTGGTAACCCCCCTCTTGCGGTCGGGAACTTTGGCTCAGCGTGTCGCTCCGCGGGCTCTGAGAAGGAGGAGGAGGAGGAGGAGGAGGAGGAGGAGGAGGAGGGAGGAGGAGGAGGAGGGAGGGAGGGAGGAGGGAGGGAAGGGAGGGAGGGAGGGAGGGAGGAGGGAGGGAGGAGGAGGAAGGAGGAGGAGGAGGAGGGAGGGAGGAGGGGAGGGGGAGGAGAGGAGGGAAGGAGGAGGAGGAGGAGAGGAGGAGGAGGAGGAGGGTGAGGAGGAGGAGGAGGAGGAGGAGGAGGAGCCCCAGAGGTCCCCAGGCGTCCACGTCCTAAGCCTTTCCACGGCCTCCCGCCGCGCGGAGCGGAGCGACACGCTGTCCGCTCGCAGGGGATAGCTCGTCGCCGGGGCCGTCGCAGCGGCGCGCTGGGCAAACGCTCCCGACCGTATTCCTGGATGGCGTAGTTATCAAGGGGGGGGGACCTTCCGACGAAGCTGAGCTGGCCTATGCCCCCCCCCCTCTCTCCTCCTCTACCTCCCTTACTTCTTCCTCCTCCTACCTCCTCCTCCCTCCTCCTCTTCCTCCTCCTCCTCCTCCTCCTCCTCCTCCTCCTCCTCCTCCTCCTCTCATCCTCCTTCTTTTCCTCCTCCACGCGTTGCGTTCCGCCACTTTGAAATCTTGGCTCGGCGTGTGCACCACTGCCCACCGAATGAGGCGGCCACACTCGGGCTGCATCTTCGGCTGCGGTTCGACTAGTGATTCAATTTCGCACTATGTCCTGGAGTGCCCGAAGCTTTCGACCCTTGTCTCGGTTGTTCTCTCTCGCGAGGTCCCCCGGGATCCCAGGGTCAAGCTTGGATTGTTTCGTGATATTGGTCGGGATGATTTTAATTTTGCGTTCATCGTATGTTGCTTGTGTGCCTTTCGGCTATTTTCCGCCCGTCGCTGCATTGGGCTGGCTGCTCAGGACGTGCCACGGCTCGCTGAAGCTGTCAGGGTAGCGATTCGCCTTCCGCTGCTGGGGCCCCATGTACGATTTTGGGTTCAGCGTTAAGCTCTGAGGCGCACTGGCGGTGAACTCGTGGCGCCTCCAGGCCACGCTCCACCTCCTCCACGCCTCATCCTGTGACGCTTCAACCTCCTCCTCTACCCCCCCCTCCTCCACCCGTTCGGAAAGTATGTGCCCCACCCCCCTTTCCCACGAATCCAAGGGGGGTGCGATCATTGTCTCGTCCAGTGTGCGGAGTGGCCCGTTGCTTTCGGCTCTGGAGTTCGCCGAGGGCGTTCCGGCGGCGCGCGAGTCGTCCCGAACCGTCGCGGAGTTGGGACCCGAAGGCTAGAGGAATTGTCCTGTGGTGTTGGGTCCTCGTTTTGAGGAGACAGTGCCTCACGATCCTCCTCCTCCTCCTCGTCGTCGTCGTCCTCCTCCTCCTCCTCCTCCTCCTCCTCCTCCTCCTCCTCCTCCCCCTTCTCCTCCTCCTCCCCCTCCCCCTCCTCCTCCTCCTCCTCCTCCTCCTCCTTCTCCTCCTCCTCCTCCTCCTCCTCCTCCTCCTCCTCCTCCTCCTCTTCACCAGAGTGACCTCTGGCGCGGCTTTCGGGGCGTGCGGGTGGGGGCCAAACCGAAGCGCGCAGTCTGCCGGTGTCGTGCCGCTCGCTACGACCAGCCGGCGGCGCGCCAAAAGTTCCTCTTGCGTGAGGCCTCTCGAAAGGGCTCCCAGACTTCCAGCGTCGAGGCCGGAGGATTCAAGGGTTGAGGTTTTCGCGCGTTTTGGTGCCTCCAGGGCGCCCCCGTGGCCACGGCTGGACCCGCCTCGAAGTACTGGTTGGAACGCTGGGGATGAGTTTTGACCCCGCTCTCAGGCCCCGAGCGATTGAGTAATAGATGCAGCTTTTTGGGTGGGGGCCGTCTTGGGTCCCAGGGTATAATCATAACACAATCATGCATCCGGACATTAGAAACGACGGCATGGCATAACAATGCAATAAAACGATAACAACCTAAGATAACACGGCGTGAAACCAATCAAACAACAACAATACAATACAACAATAACATAACGACCTGACATAACAATCAAACATCCTGACAATACACATCCGAATCATAAAATTCATAAGCAAAAAGACGATCCTGACATATCACGGCATCGCAGGTCTCGGTTCCCAAGAGACGGGCCCATGCTGCCTGGGCGCTCAAGGGTCGGCGTATGTGGACGTTCTTCCGCGTTCTCGGGGCCTCCGAGGACTGAGTTTTCATGTTTTCGAGCGTTTCTGTTTCCGTTGCGGGCCTCTTGGAGACCTCTGGTGGCCTCCAGGGACTCGTGGAGACTGGCGGCAGCACCAGCACTGCTCTACGTCTTTCCCCAGCCCTGCCGTGCTGTTGGGGCCCTCGCTTTCTCATTGCAGCGTCGCGCCCCGCCGCCGCGTCTCCTCCCCATCCCTTGCTCCGCAGGGGCAATGATCGGGGGGGATAGGCATAGGAGGGGATGCATCGACCCCCAATCGCACATTGATCGCCGATAGGGGCCCGATAGTCCCAACCTGCCCAGGAGGGTGCGGACTCAGTATCGGAGGCCTATCGCCGAACTATCGGCGATGTATCGCCGATTCCAGGTCGATATGTCCCCCCCTATGTCAGGCCCCTCCTATCGTTGCCCCTCACCTCCTCTGTCACGGATGAGCCCTTTCGGCTGAGGCCATTGAGAGGGGCCACGTCCGCGCAGAGTTCCAGAGGCCGCGATGGGGAAGGCCGGCGCCAAGAAGAAGCTCCCCAACGCGCCCTTGGGAGAGAAGAAAAAGAAGGCCGCCAAGATCCGAAGAAGAAAAAACGCAATAAGCATCAAACTTTTGGGCTCCGCGCGGATTTCTTGGATCGGCGCTGGGCCCCCCTGGCGGCGCCTCTGGCGCCGCCCCTGGCGCGCTCCGCGCGCCGGGGAAAGGGGTCCAGCGAGGATCCAAGAATTCCGCACGGACTTCCAAAAGTTTATGTTTACGCGGTTTGTTGTTCCTCTAAAGAACCCGCTGTTCGAGAAGGCCCCTCGTAACTTCAGGCTCGGCGGCGACATCCAGCCGAAGAGGGATCTCAACCGCTTCGTGAGATGGCCCAAGTTCGTGCGCCTACAGCGCATGAAGCGGGTTATGCTCATGCGGCTCAAGGTCCCGCCTGCCATCAACCAGTTCAACATGGCCATCGATAAGAACCAGGCCGCGCAACTGTTCAAACTGATGAAGAAGTACATGCCCGAGACCTCCGAGGAGAAGAAGGCTAGGCTGATGGAGATGGCCCAGCAGAAGAAGGACGGCCAGGAGGTGAAGACAAAAAAGCCCCAAGTCATCAAGTACGGGCTGAACCACGTCACGACCCTGATCTCGAAGAAGAAATACTGGCATATCAATCAACTTTTGGAGGTCAACGCGGATTTCTTGGATCGGCGCTGGACCCCCCTCCCTGACGTGCGCAGCACGCCATGGGCGGCGGCGCCAGAGGCGTCGCCAGATGGGTTCAGCGCTGATCCGAGAAATCTGTGCGGACTTAGAAATTTGTATACGTGTGCAGTTTTCTCTTCTCCGGTGGTCGAGCAGAAGCAGGCCAAGCTGGTGGCGATTGCGCACGACGTGGACCCCATCGAAATGGTTGTCTGGCTCCCCGCGCTCTGTCGCAAGAAGGAGGTGCCGTACTGCATCGTGAAGGGCAAGGCCAGGCTGGGGCAGCTCGTGCACAAGAAGGCCGCCGCGGTCGTGGCACTGACGTCGGTCAACAACGAGGACAAGAAGGAACTGGAGACCCTGGCTGGCAACTTCAAGGGTCAGTTCAACGACAATACGGAGGTCCGTCGCAGGTGGGGCGGCGGCATCATGGGCATCAAGTCCCAGCACGTCATGCAGCGTCGCGAGAAGGCCATTCAGATGGAGCAGGCCAAGAAGCTCGGGCTGCAGATTGCCTGAGCGGTGGGGCTACGGGCGGTGCCGCCGGAGGGACGGGCCCCCCCGCCTGTGTTGATGGGTCCTCGCCGTACCTCCGCAGCGCCGCGCGTGCCGTCCAGCCCGCCTCCCTCTCCCTCTCCCTCTCCCTTGCCTCCTCCTTCCTTGCCTCCTCCTCCTCCTTCTCCTCCTCCTCCGCCTCCTCCTCCTCCTCCTCCTCCTCCCCCTCCTCCTCTTCCTATTTCCTCCTCCTCCTCCTCCTCCTACTTCCTCCTCCTCCTCCTCCTCATCCTCCTCATCCTCCTCTTCCTACTCCC